GGTGGAGTGGTGGTGATGGGTGGAGTGATGGTGATGATGGTGAGTGGTGGTGATGGTAGGAGTGGTGGTGATGGGAGGGTGGTGAGTAGGGTGATGGTGGGAGTGGTGGTGATGGTGGTGGAGGTGGTAGGATAGTGGAGTGTGGTGATGGTGGAGGGTGGTGGGATAGGGAGTGGTGGTGGTGGGTGATGTGGTGATGGTGAGTGATGGTGATGATGGTGGAGTGGTGGTGATGATGGTGGAGTGGTGGTGATGGTGGTGATGTGGAGTGGGAGGATGGAGGGTGGTGGTGATGGTGGAGTGGTGGTGATGGTGGAGTGGTGGTGGATGGTGAGTGATGGTGATGATGTTGGAGTGGTGGTGGTGGGTGGTGGAGGGTGGTGGTGGTGATGGTGAGTGGATGGTGATGGTGGATGATGGTGGTGATGGTGGAGTGGTGGTGATGATGGTGGAGTGGTGGTGATGATGGTGGAGTGGTGGTGATGGTGGAGTGGTGGTGATGGTGGTGATGGTGGAGTGATGGTGATGATGGTGGACTGGTGGTGATGGTGGTGATGGTGGAGTGATGGTGATGATGGTGGAGTGGTGGTGATGATGGTGAGTGGTTAGTTTTAGGTCTGTACGGTGTGTTGTGTATGTACTGTGTGTTGTGTTGCGTTGTGTTGTGTCTGTACTGTGTGTTGTGTTGCGTTATGTTGTGTATGTACTCTATGTTGTGTTGTGTTTGTACTGTGTGTTGTGTTGTGTCTGAACTGTATATTGTGTTGTGTCTGTACTCTATGATGTGTTGTGTTGTGTTGTGTTGGCGACAAACACGATGTAGGTAGAGGAAGTAACCTGAATCACATTAAAGTAGCTGGTTATTGAAGTATCGATTCAGTACCTAGACGGTGAACGCTGGTGGATGGATGGATGGATGGATGGGGTGTAATTGAGTGATGGATTTTTGATAAGGTGGATTTCATGAGGGTGGATTGAGGTTCCTGCACACACACACACACACACCAACACACACACACACACACACACACACACACACACACACACACACACACACACACACACACACACACACACACACACACACACACACACACACACACACACATGATGAACTTATTTAACATACCAAAAGTACGGTTACGGGAACTAATTTTAGACCCCGTGAAGCGAGAATGTAGTCTATTTGTTCATTTGTTCAGCTAATTACCGGTGTCTAATTTTAGCATAATTGGTGGTGGTGTGAGAGTGAATCAGGCAGCACATGTGTCTCAGGTGTGGTAAAGAGATAATACACACCTGGATGCACATGTGTCTCAGGTGTGGTAAAGAGTATAATACACACCTGGAAGCACATGTGTCTCAGGTGGTAAAGGATATAAAACACACCTGGCAGCACATGTGTCTGTAAGGTGTGGTAAAGAGTATAATACACACCTGGCAACACATGTGTCTCTGTGTGGAAAGTATATAACACACACCTGGCAACACATGTCTCAGGTGTGGTAAAGAGTATAATACACACCTGGCAGCACATGTGTCTCAGGTGTGGTATGAGTAAATACACACACCTGGCAACACATGTGTCTCAGTGTGGTATAAGAGTATAATACACACCTGGCAGCACATGTGTCTCAGGTGTGGTAAGATATAATACACACCTGGCAGCACATGTGTCTCAGGTGTGGTAAAGGATATATACACACCTGGCAGCACATGTGTCTGTAAGGTGTGGTAAAGTATATGATACACACCTGGCAGCACATGGCTCAGGTGTGGTAAGAGTATGATACACACCTGGCAGCACATGTGTCTTGTGGTAAACTATATGATACACACCTGGCAGCACATGTCTCAAGTGTGGTAAAGTATATAATACACACCTGGCAGCACATGTGTCTCAGGTGTGGTAAACTATATGATACACACCTGGCAGCACATGTGTCTCAGGTGTGGTAAAGGATATAATACACACCTGGCAGTATTGAGGAAGACGTGGAGTAAGGTAGATATAGAGAGCCCTCCCTCCTGGTGGTGCCACGGCCCTCCCTCCTGGTGGTGCCACGGCCTCCTCCTGGTGGTGCCACGGCCCTCCCTCCTGGTGGTGCCACGGCCCTCCCTCCTGGTGGTGCCACGGCCCTCCTGGTGGTGCCACGGCCCTCCTCCTGGTGGTGCCACGGCTCCCTCCTGGTGGTGCCACGGCCTCCTGGTGGTGCCACGGCCCTCCCTCCTGGTGGTACCACGGCCCTCCCTCCTGGTGGTGCCACGGCCCTCCTCCTGGTGGTGCCACGGCCCTCCCTCCTGGTGGTACCACGGCCCTCCCTCCTGGTGGTGCCACGGCCTCCCTCCTGGTGGTGCCACGGCCTCCCTCCGTGGTACCACGTCTCCCTCCTGGTGGTGCCACGGCCCCCTCCTGGTGGTGCCACGGCCCTCCCTCCTGGTGGTGCCACGGCCCTCCCTCCCTGGTGGTGCCACGGCCTCCCTCTGGTGGTGCCACGGCCCTCCCTCCTGGTGGTGCCACGGCCCCTCCCTCCTGGTGGTGCCACGCCCTCCCTCCTGGTGCCACGCCCCTCTTGGTGGTGCCACGGCCTCCCTCCGGTGGTGCCACGGCCCTCCCTCCTGGTGGTGCCACGGCCCCTCCTGGTGGTACCACGGCCCTCCCTCCTGGTGGTGCCACGGCCCTCTCCTGGTGGTGCCACGGCCCTCCCTCCTGGTGGTGCCACGGCCCTCTTGGTGGTGCCACGGCCTCCCTCCTGGTGGTGCCACGGCTCCTCCTGGTGGTGCCACGGCCCTCCCTCTCTGGTGCCACGGCCTCCCTCCTGGGGTGCCACGGCCCTCCCTCCCAGGTGCCACGGCCCTCCTCTGGTGGTGCCACGGCCCTCCTGGTGGTGCCACTCCCTCCTGGTGGTGCCACGGCCCCTCCTGGTGGTGCCACGGCCCTCCCTCCTGGTGGTGCCACGGCCTCTTGCTACGTTCTCTTCCTTCCTCCCTTCGTAGTCCTTTCATTTGCCTCGCCTCACACTGATGATTATCACAACACACACACACTATATTTCTGCTCTAATAATTATCGCCTCTCTTTATCTGTGTCTGGGTCAGGTTAGTGTTAGCTTAGGCAGATCACCTTGTCCCTGTTTCGCCTCCCTCCCTTCCACCCCACATAACCTTCTTGAACCATCTTGGTGATTACTACTGACACGTTCACGGCCCTGCGCCACCTCCACCCATCTTACCTAGTGACTTGATCTTAGCCTTACTTTTCCTCCTCCTTATTCTTCTTCTTCGTCCTTTCCTCCTCCTCCTCCTCCTCCTTCTTCTCCTTGTTTCACTCATTATTATCACTATTCTTATGTTGTGTGGATAGTGGCAGGAATTCTTTTTAAGCACATTGTTGAGTGTCTTGTTTGGTAAGTAGTTCCTGTTTCATCTTATTATCTTCCTCTTCCTGTCTTCTCTCCTGGTCTTCCTCTTCTCCTCTTCTTCTCCTCCTCCTCCTCCTCCTCACTCCCTTCTTCTCCTGAACGTAATATTAGGACGAAACAATAATAAAACTGAACGATGCCAAGTGATAAATATACGTAGCAGTGAGTTGTGTCTTGGTCATCAAACTTGGAGACGACACATTTTTTTTTTTTTGGGGGAGGGATATTTTTTTTTACATAATTTCAATTAATTTAAACACTTTAATGTAGGTTCAAGTTTTTTGTTGTTGTTGAAGACTTTGAACTTGGAGGGAACAGACAGTCCATACGAGTACGAACTGATCGCTATAAGAACAGCCCAGTCCTAACCGTCGTAAAAAATTATCAATAACTTGTAATCAACCAGTGTATTCACTCCCAGTCAATCTTACTTTTTGCACTGTCACTATGCTGAAATGTCCTGTAGTATGACCTTCTCCCCGCCTAGTTTATTATATATCATATTTGTATCACTTATGTTACTTGTATATTATTTGTAAATCAAGAGACCCATTCCCCAATTATGTAACTGTCTATTTTTAACCTTCCGGCTGCCATGCTCTTTCAATAAACCTTTAATTATTATTATTTATTATTATTATAGACGCTTTGCGCCCACACACACACACACACACATACACACACACACACACACACACACACACACACAATCCATCAGCGGAAGCATGAAATTATAGATATATCAAGAAAACAAAGAAACGGTAAAGAAGGTCACACGTTGAATGACATAAAACACAGGAAACATAACCGAGAAAATGGTAAATTATAGTCTTATGTAAACCTGTTGATTAAGATGAGAGAGAAGCATTCAGAGAGACAGAAGGGGTGGAGTTGTCTCTCTCTCTCTCTCTCTCTCTCTCTCTCTCTCTCTCCGGGGATGTTGATGGGGAGTAAGAGTCGACCTGACACGTAACAGAAGCCAAATCAAATTTCAGAGAGCAGCGCCATCACTCCCCAGCTGTTAGTAAACAAGACTCAGTTTATGGGCAGAACCACTCACCCTGTGTGTTGGTAATCATAAATCACCTGATTGGACACTTACCACCATGTGTTTGGTGTAAATATGGTATCAGCTGACAGGCAGATGGGCTCATCGCCTCTCTCTACAGTGTGTTTGTATATAAGTGTAGTATCTCTATCTCTTGCTGTTTCTTCATCACTATCCTCCTTCTGTCTGTCTGTCTATCTGTGTCTGTCTGTCTTTTTCGGTGTCTTTCTCTCTTATTTTAGTCTCTCCCAGCATCATTAGGGGTAACACACGCTGCCCGTCACCTGACACACATAATGGCCATTACCTGTATAAAAGGTAATCACAGCCTACTTACCTGCTGTACTTCCTGGTTTACGACCTACAGACTCTCCTGGTTCACCCTGGAGCTTCTTGGTGCACCCTGGAGCCTTCTGGTACACCACTGGAGTTTCTGGCACACCCATAAATTTCGTGGATACACCCTGAGCCTCCTGGTACACGCTGAGCCTCCTAGTACACCCTGAACCTTCTGGTACACACTGAACCTTATGGTACACGTTGAGCCTCCTCGTTACACCCTGGAGCCTCCTCGTTACACCCTGGAGCCTCCTCGTTACACCCTGAAGCTTCATGATACACCCTGCTGCATGTTTTAGTAATTAGGTCAAATATATCAGTGTCATTATACACCTATAATTAACTCGCTAATATATGTCTCTCTCTCTATTTCAGACACGTCAAGAATATGTCTGACGGAAGACTGTGTAAAGACTGGTGAGTGAGTTATCTTGTTATCTTTAGTTCACCAAGAGGACTGTGTGAAGACTGGTGAGTGAGTTATCTTGTTATCTTTAGTTCACCAAGAGGACTGTGTGAAGACTGGTGAGTGAGTTATCCTGTTATCTTTAGTTCACCAAGAGGACTGTGTAAAGACTGGTGAGTGAGTTATCCTGTTATCTTTAGTTCACCAAGAGGACTGTGTGAAGACTGGTGAGTGAGTTATCCTGTTATCTTTAGTTCACCAAGTGGAAAAAACAGGTAAAGCGAACTTTTACACAATTCTGTTATCCTTGTATAATCCTCTTATCATGATCACGAGTCTGTTATCCTTATAGAGCTCTGTTATCATGATCACGAGTCTGTTATCCTTATAGAGCTCTGTTATCATGATCACGAGTCTGTTATCCTTATAGAGATCTGTTATCCTTATAGAGATCTGTTATCTTGGTAGGTAACCTCTATTGATTTTATTATTAACTAGATAACACATGGACCTGATATCCTGGTAACTAATTTTCCTATTTAGTAGCCGAGTGATCTTGTTATCTCGGCAGCTGAGGGCTTTTGTTATCTTATGATAAAAGGTATTGATAACGTGCCTGTTATGTGAGTAGGAGCTGTTATCTTAATAGGGCATGGTATTTTAATTGGACCTGTTATCTTAGTAGGGAATGTTATCTTAGTAGGGCCTGTTATCTTAGTAGGGCCTGTTATCTTAGTAGGTGTTGTTATCTTAGTAGGGCCTGTTATCTTAGTAGGGTCTGTTATCATAGTAGCAACTGTTATCTTAGTAATTTCTCTTATCGTATTTGTGACCGTTATCTTTGTGAAGGAATAGAAGAGTTGTTATCGTTATAGAAGAAAGCTGCTATCCCTTTAGAGTAAGCTGTTATCGTTATAGAAGAAACTGTTATCTTAGTAGAGGAAACTGTTATCTTAGTAGAGGAAACTGTTATCTTAGTAGAGGAAACTTTTATCTTGGTAGAGGAAACTGTTATCTTGGTAGAGGAAACTGTTATCTTGGTAGAGGAAACTGTTATCTTACCTGCACGAGTTATCTTAGCTGGTAAAAATCATATTTGACGGCCCACCATTATATTACATCCGGGTTATGACCTTGATAAATAAGCTGGATTGATGGTTCCTAGTTAGCCTCGTGACAGCTGGCCGGATATTGTGCTGGGCTGGATATTGTTGGTGATGGATGGCCGGATGTTGTACTAGCCCAGATATTGTTGATGGAGGGCCGGATATTGTACTAAGCCGGATATTGTTGATGATGGATGGCCGGATGTCGTACTAGGCCGGATACTGTTGGTGATGGATGGCCGGATGTTGTACTTGGCCAGATATTGTTGGTGTTGGATGGCCGGATAATTTGGGTGACGGATGGCCGGATACTGTACTAGGTTGGATATTGTTGGTGACGGATGGCCGGATATTGTGCTAGGCCAGATATTGTTGATGGATGGCCTGGTATATAACTAGGCCGGATAATGTTGGTGATGGGTGACCGGATATTGTACTAGGTTGGATATTGTTGGTGATGGATGGCCGGATACTGTACTAGGCCGGATAATGTTGGTGATGGATGGCCGGATGTTGTACCAGGCCAGATATTGTTGGTGATGGATGGCCGGATAATTTGGGTGACGGATGGCCGGATACTGTACTAGGTTGGATATTGTTGGTGACGGATGGCCGGATATTGTGCTAGGCCAGATATTGTTGATGGACGGCCTGGTATATAACTAGGCCGGATAATGTTGGTGATGGGTGGCCGGATGTTGTACTAGGTTGGATATTGTTGGTGATGGATGGCCGGATACTGTACTAGGCCGGATAATGTTGGTGATGAATGGTCGGATATTGTGCTGAGCTGGATATTGTTGGTGACCGGCTAATGCGCTAGGCTAGATATTGTTGGGGATGGATGGCCGGATAATATTGGGGATGGATGGCCGGATAATGTTGGTGATGGATGGCCGGGTATATTACTAGGCCGAATAATACTGGTGATGGATGGCCGGATATTGTTAGTGATAGATGCCCGGATAATGTAGGTGATGGATAGCCGGATATTGTAGTAGGCCGGGCAATGATGGTGATGGATGGCCGGATATTGACTTTATACCACGGGTGACGGCCGACCGGATATGTTTATTACGTCATAAATAACACATACTGCCGGAGCCTATACTAACATAATTATTTTATGTTCTGGTTTGCGACGATTTGGCTGTTATGTTTATCTTTTATATATTTTTGTATACTCTCAAGAAGCAAACAAAACAAACAAACAAACATACAAACAAACATAAACAAACACACACAACCCATAGACGTAAACAGTGACCCCCCTCGGCACTAACAGGTCCTTGCCATGACCTCAGATGACCCTGAAGACTTAACACAGTGACCTCTCCTTCTTCAACCACTACTATGGCCTCACAACAAACCCCTTCCCTCAACACCCAGGCACTAACAGGTCCTGACCCTTCTACAGGTGCGTCACTGCTGGCGGCGATGGACCAAACGGCGGACCCCTGCACCGACTTCTTCCAGTTCGCGTGTGGAATGTGGAATAAGAAACACGTTATACCTGAAGACCGCGCCTCTATCAACACCTTCGAAGTGATGGCTGACCAACTGCAGAAAATCCTTAGAGGTGGGTGGATGACCTGATGGCTTGGCTTCATCCTTCCTTCCTTCCTTCCTTCCTTCCTTCCTTCCTTCCTGCCTTCCTGCCTTTCTTCCTGCCTTTCTTCTGTTATTCTTGTTGTTCTTATTTTTCTTGTTGTTGTTGTTGTACTTCTCCTTCTTCTTGTTATTCGTTGTTGTTGGTCTTCGCCCTTTTCTTTTTCCTCTTGTTCTTCTTCCTCTGTGTGGCCTCCGTCCTTCCCCTTTCTCCGCCGATTTTTTCTCAAGGGTGTTCTCTCATCCTCCTTCTTCTTTTCCTCCTCTTCCTCCTCCATCCTCTCCCGTAGCAATGTTTACTGTCTTCTTATTATTATCATCATCATCATCATCATCATCATCATCATCATCATCATCATCATCATCATTATTTATGTATACAAATGTATCTGATGCTGGTCAAATGATAACATTCTCAGACTAACACACTAACACACCGTCTAACACACTAACACACCGTCTAACACACCATCTAACACACCATCAAACACACCATCTAACACACCATCTAACACACCATCTAACACACCATCTAACACACCATCACACCATCTAACACACCATCTAACACACACACACATCTAACACACCATCAAACACACCATCTAACACACCATCTAACACCATCACACCAACAACAACACACCATCTAACATACTAACACACCATCCGACACACCATCTAAACACACTAACACACCGTCTAACACACCATCACACCAACACTCCAACACACCATCTAACACACCATCACACCATCTAACACACCATCAAACACACCATCTAACACACCATCTAACACACCATCACACCATCACACCAACACACCATCTAACACACTAACACACCATCCGACACACTATCTAACACACCATCACACCATCTAACACACCATCACACCAACACCCCAACACACCACCCGACACACCATCTAACAACTAATACTACTACTACTACTTTGCTGTCACTCGGAGTCGAGTATGTCGATCATCCAGCTATGATACAATGATATGAGTTATTAGGGATGTCACCTTCATTGGTGAGTTTTGAGGTGATTAAAGAGGACGTTACGTGACCGGCAGAGTCGTTCACATTCTTTGCACACGTGGAGGGCTGTATCTAGTGCGGGAGGGGCGGTGGCAGCGTCTATCCGGCGTTGGCGCTTGTGTGTCTCGGTTTGCAATCGGACTAACTCGAAATTATTGACACCTCGTGTGGTGCTCCTCCAAGCGTTACGATGTGGAGTAATCGACTCCCAGGTGAGGGGGTCGATTTGGCATTTTTTTCAGGTTTGTCTTTAGACTATCCTTATATCTTTGCAATTGCCCTCAGCGTTACGTTTACTATTACTTAGGTGACTGTAAAGTAGCTGCTTTAGTAGTCTACTGTCGTCCATGCGGGTAACGTGGCCAGTCCAGCGTTCATGGATAATGGTAGCATCAATGCTCCTACAGTTGGTGTCAGCAAGAATACTAGCATTTGTTCTCTTGTCTTCCCAGCGAACCCGGAGGATGGGACGTAGCCTATGTTGGTGAAAGTTTTCAAGTGCCTTGAGGTGCCCCCTGTATGTGACCCATGTCTCACTGCCATATAGCAAAGTGGGGAGGACCACTGCTCGATATACGTGCAGCTTTGTAGATAATTTCAGCTCCTTACAGCTGAAGACACGGTTTCAGAGTCTGCCAAAGGCTTGAGATGCACATCTGATCCGATGCTGAATCTCTTCATCGATGTCTGCGGTGGTGGACAGGTGGGAGCCGAGATACCGAAAGTGGGTAACATTAGAGAGGGTAGTACCGTTAAGGTGGTTGGATGGCTGGAGGTGTGTCTGAACCAGGGGCAGGTTGAAAGAGAATCCGAGTCTTAAATACAATCACCTCAAGGACGAAGTGTGCATACGCATTTGCATAGGTGTTCAGGATCTCCTGTAGGTCGTGTTCAATGTAAGCAACAAGGGTGAGGTTGTCTGCATACCGAAGTTCAGTAATGGAAGCTGCCGACAGCTTTGTTCTTTCACCGAATCGTCTTAAGTTGAAAATACCCTCCTTCACCGGGTACTCGATGTCCACCCCGCCTGCTAAATTGGCACTGGCACGAGTAAGGAAGGCAGCAAAGAAAATGGAAAAGAGAGTTGGTACTACACGCTTGTTTTACCCCCGTTTGGATGGGGAAGAACTCAGACTGTGTGCCGTTGTGTAGGACGCTGCCGTTCATGCCATCGTGGAGTTACCTCACAATGGCAATGAATTTTGGTGGGCAGCCAAAACGGCTGAGAGTCCACCAGAGGGCTTCAGTGTTGACCGAGTTGATGGACTTGGTTAGGTCGATGAAAGCCATGTACAGGTCCTGGCTCTGTTCTCTGCACTTTTCCTGTATCTGGCGGGCAGCAAAGATCATGTCAGTGGTGCCACGTGATGGTCTAAAGCCACATTGAGATTCTGGGAGGAAGTTTTCCGCCTCAGGTAGAAGTCTGTTTAGGATGACTCGGGCGATAATCTTGCCAGCTATGGAGAGCAGCGAGATCCAGTGGTAGTTACCACATTCTGACTGGTCTCCCTTGTTCTTATAAATATTGACGATGGAGGCGTCTTTAAGAGCGTGGGGGATTTCCTCCTTTTTCCATATATTCTCCAGGAGAGAGTGGAGACGGCTGGTAAGCAAAGGTACTCCTGTTTTTTACACCTCGGCTGGGATTCCATCAGACCCTGAGGCTTTGTTATTTTTCATCTGTTTGATGGCAGTAGCTACCTCCTCCAGGGATGAAGGATAGCTGAGGTTGGTCAGCTCTGGATGCTGAGGGCCTGCTGGGTAGTCAGGACATCCTCGTCGGTAATTCGGTTGAGCAGTGAATGGTAGTGCTCTTTCCAGCGCTGAAGGAGGACTTCATTGTCTTTAATTATGAAGTTACCAACGGATGAGCGGAGGGGGGCTGCGTCACGAGTGATTGGCCCATAAAATGTTTTAGTGGAATTAGCAAATTCGCGCCTCTTGTGCTGATTTGCAAATTTTTGCGTTTCACATGCTTTATTTTTAAACCTGTCGTTTTTTAGAATGCGAAGTTCCCGCTAGGCCGCCGCTTTCGTCTTGCGGAAGGTATCAGCTTTGGTCCGAGACCGAGGGTTGTTCTGTCAGTTAGTGAAAGCAACATGTTTATCATCGACGAGTACATTGATTGCCGGGTCATTTTCATCAAACCAGTCCTAGTGTATTCTTTCGATCTGGCCGAGGGTCTCTGCAGGTTTTTGTCATGACAGTGTTGAGAATATCCCATTCAGCACTTGGATTTGCGTTGTTTGCTGTTGGGTTGTTTATCAGCCCACGTTCGAGCTGCTCTCTGAAGGCATGTGCTACCGCTGGATACTCCAGACGCTTAGTGTTAAAACCTCTTCTGGAGGCTTGCTGCCTTAGTCGTATTGGGGCGCCGGGAAGTGAGAGCTTGGCTCTGACAAGCTGATGATCAGTGTCACGGTGGTCTGAGCCACGTATGGCACGGGTGATGAGGACATCTCGGCGATCTCTTTCTCTGACAATGATGTAGTCAATGAAATGCCAGTGTTTAGAACGTGGGTGTTGCCACGAACCTTTAAACTTGTCGGCCTGCCTAAATAAGGTATTGATGATAGTAAAGTTGTGTGCAGCACACTTGCTGAGGGAGTGTAGGCTGTTGGGAATACATTTGCCTAGTCTATTTCTCCCTATGGTTCCCTGCCAAATGTTAGCATCTCTGCCAACTCTGGCATTGAAGTCACCAAGGAGCACAACCCTGTCTTCTCTGGGGATGGAGGCTAGCACTCTGTCGAGGTAGGCATAAAAGGCCTCCTTAATATCATCCTTTGCATCTAGTGTTGGGGCGTATGCACTGACCAAAAAGACATGACGTGAGTGATTCAGTGGGACTGGAAGTGTCATGAGGCGCTCGTTGATCCCAATAGGCATTTCAGTTAGCCTGTGTAGGATGCGTTGGCGGATAGCAAAGCCACCTCCATAAATGCGGTTTCTCTCTGCAGCAGGCTTACCCTTCCAGAAGAAGGTATAGGCAGACCCCCGTTCTGTGATTTGACCCTCATCTGGGAGCCGGGACTCACTAATGGCTGCTAAGTCGATGTTATACCTAGCCAGCTCTTTTGCCACAAGGGCAGTTCTTCTTTCAGAATGCTCAATTGTGCCAGTATCCAGAAGGGGTCCTGATATTCCATCCAGCGACCATAAGAGGTTGTATAGTTTGTTTTTGATTGGAACTGTGATTATGGTTGTGTTTTCGACCGCATAAGGATGACCCTACTGGGTGCGATTGCCCAGTCAGATTTGCATTTTAGGCAGGCTATGTTTAGGGCACCTTTTCTAGCCCCCTCCCCATGTGGGGTGACCAGAGTGGCTCCTCGAAAGGTCTGCTCAGTCGCACAGACAGGACCGGATTGCACTGCTGCCTAGATCACCATCTAACACACCACCTAATACTTCAACACACCATCTAACACACTAACACACTATCACACCATCTAACACACACTAAATTCTGTCTTCCCCCACAGGCTTGTTAGAGGAACCTGTCTCACCTGACGAAGGAGAAGCGACCAAGAAGGCCAAATTGTTCTACTCTGCCTGTATGAATACCAGTAAGTCGGGTGGAGGGTGTGGGTGGAGGTTGATGGGTGTAAGTGGAGGGTGTTGGCAATGGGTGGGGGTGGAGGGTTTGGGCGGGGGTTGATGGGTGTGGGCGTTGGGCGGAGTGTGTGGACTGTGGAAGTTGTGATCCGTGGATGGAGGGTGGAAGTTGTGGGCAGTGGATGGAGGGTATGGACGGTGGGTGGAGGGTGTGGTTGGTGGGTGTTTGCGGTGGGTGGAGGATGTGGGTGAAGGGTGTGGGAGGTGGGTGGAGGGATAGTGGAGGTGAAATGTGGATGGGATGGAGTTGGCGCAGAGTTAGGTGGAATTGAATGATGGTGGGTGGAGAGATGGGTGGAGTTGGATGGTGGTAGGTGGAGGGAGGAGGAACGAGAGAGTGAGGGTGGAGTAGGAAGAAAGAGATAGGAAATACAGGGAATAAAGAAAGTAAAGTAAAGGAGAGAAAGAGAGTACACTCCCTCCCTCTCTTCCCACTCCCCCTCTCTCCCCTTTCTCCCCCTCTCTCCCCTTTCTCTCCCTCTCTTCCCCCCTCTCCTTCCCTCCCCCTGAACTAGTATGTGACCTTGAGGGTAATAATGTCCAGGGCCGGTGTTGATAGCCCTGATGACCCTAGGGAGGGTATAGCCTTAAGACGAACACGAGAGAGATGGTAGTAAATAGCAGTGAGGCGGCCAGAACTAGGTTATCTCTCTCTCTCTCTCTCTTTCTCTCTCTCTCTCTCTCTCTCTCTCTCTCTCAGTTGGGAGTACATTATTAAAATACGCTGAGGTAAAGACTTATTTAGGGTGAAGTAGAAATGTGTTGGGCGTAGTAAGGTGAAGCAGCCATGAAGTATAATGTCCCACGTCTTAAAGTGCAATAGAACGTTAAGTAAGTAATAGAAGATAGTTAAGAAATAATCTCCTGTGTATAATAGAGTCTTAAGTAAGCTGCAGTAAAGTGTTTTCAGTACTTTGTCTTCTAGTTTAAAGTGCAATAGTATTTTAAGTAAGTTGTAGTAAAGTGTTTTGAGTAGGGGTTCTTATAAGCTAAAAGTGCAATACAGTTTTAAGTGAGTTGTGTTAAATTAACTTCATGCACCCGACAGGTGAGATCGAGACTACGGGAGATGCACCTGTAATCGCGGTACTGAACTCTCTTGGTGGGTGGCCTGTGACATCTCCTAACTGGACGCTGCCAGATTTTTCGGTGGAGACCCTCATAGGCAGGATGCGGGGGCAGCTCAACCAAGGAGTGCTCATCGACCAGTGGGTGGGGCCTGATGACAAGAACTCCTCCGTCAACGTCATACAGGTGAGAGACCCTACCCCCCCCCCCTACCCCCGAACACCTGGGTGACACCTGTCTAATTAGTGGTATTGTAGTCGTTTCAGGCTGTATTATGGTTTGTTATAGTTCAGAATTATTTAATGGTTGTTGTTACTTTATGTTACATGGTTGGTTATTAGGTCACAGATTAAAGGTTATATTATATCACAAGTGTTATTTAAGGTTACATTATATCAGTGTTGTTAAAGGTTGTTATATTATGTCACAGCGTTATAAAAGGTTCAGCTCATCATAGTTTACATCCTGGCTAGCACAGTAGTTAAAGCAACCTCACTACTGTAGATGGCGTTGATATACAATTGTTGACTCACTTGGAAATACAATCTTGGTGTTATTTCTGAGTAGATTCCCTAGAAATAACTGTATTTAATCAATCACAAATAAATGGCGTAGAATTAGACATGCATTTGTTTACTAATTTGAATGTAGTTGTATCACTTCCCAATAGATGGCGAAGCGATAATTTGTATTTATTTATTCATGTTTGGGTGATAAAGAGTTCTCACAAAATGGCCTCACGGTTTATTTAGTTGAATTTAAATGTACCAGAAAGACCGGAAGTGACGTCCTCGGGCCTGAAGTGACGTCCTCGGGCCTGAAGTGAGTAGAGACAGAGAATGAAACTCAAAACACAAAATTTCTAGGCGGGTGTAAATAAGTGTAAATATACCAGAAGTGGTGTCAGAGAATCTCCAGTGACATCACCTAGCAAAAAGTGACGTCATTGAATCTCCAGTGACATCACCTACCAGAAAGTGACGTCTTTGAATCTCCAATGACATCACCTGCCAGGAAGTAGCGCCACAGATCCGGAAGTAGTGTTGGTCTTTCAAATTAAATAGCTAGATATCAAGGCCGTTCATTTTGTGACATATTCAAGTGAGTTTTGCAGTGTTGGTATAGAGATGTGCGTATGATTTCAACAAGTGTTATCTAGTGTCAACAAGTGTTATCTAGTGTCAACAAGTGTTATCTAGTGTCAACAAGAGTTAACTAGTGTCAACAAGAGTTAACTAGTGTCAACAAGAGTTAACTAGTGTCAACAAGAGTTAACTAGTGTCAACAAGTGTTATCTAGTGTCAACAAGAGTTAACTAGTGTCAACAAGAGTTAACTAGTGTCAACAAGTGTCAACAAGAGTTAACTAGTGTCAACAAGAGTTAACTAGTGTCAACAAGTGTTATCTAGTGTCAACAAGAGTTAACTAGTGTCAACAAGAGTTAACTAGTGTCAACAAGTGTTATATAGTGTCAACAAGTGTTAACTAGTGTCAACAAGAGTTAACTAGTGTCAACAAGAGTTAACTAGTGTCAACAAGAGTTAACTAGTGTCAACAAGTGTTATCTAGTGTCAACAAGTGTTATATAGTGTCAACAAGTGTTATCTAGTGTCAACAAGTGTTATCTAGTGTCAACAAGAGTTAACTAGTGTCAACAAGAGTTAACTAGTGTCAACAAGAGTTAACTAGTGTCAACAAGAGTTAACTAGTGTCAGCAAGAGTTAACTAGTGTCAACAAGTGTTATCTAGTGTCAACAAGTGTTAACTAGTGTCAACAAGTGTTAACTAGTGTCAGCAAGAGTTAACTAGTGTCAACAAGTGTTAACTAGTGTCAACAAGTGTTAACTAGTGTCAACAAGTGTTAACTAGTGTCAACAAGTGTTAACTAGTGTCAGCAAGAGTTAACTAGTGTCAACAAGTGTTATCTAGTGTCAAGTGTTATCTAGTGTCAACAAGTGTTAACTAGTGTCAACAAGTGTTAACTAGTGTCAACAAGTGTTAACTAGTGTCAGCAAGAGTTATCTAGCGTCAACAAGTGTTAACTAGTGTCAACAAGAGTTAACTAGTGTCAACAAGAGTTATCTAGTGTCAACAAGTGTTATCTAGTGTCAACAAGTGTTATCTAGCGTCAACAAGTGTTAACTAGTGTCAACAAATGTTAACTAGTGTCAACAAGAGTTAACTAGTGTCAACAAGAGTTAACTAGTGTCAACAAGTGTTATCTAGTGTCAACAAGTGTTATCTAGCGTCAACAAGTGTTAACTTGTGTCAACAAATGTTAACTAGTGTCAACAAGAGTTAACTAGTGTCAACAAATGTTATCTTGTGTCAACAAGTGTTTTCTAGCATCAACATTTTTTATATATTGTTAATAATTGTTATGTAGTGTCAACAAGTGCTATCCAATATCAACAAGTGTTATCTCGTGACAACAAGTGTCAACAAATATTAACAAGAGTCAAAAAGTGACAATAAGTGTCAACAAGTGTTATCTGAAGTCAACAAGTGTTATTTAGTATCAGTAAGTGTTACGTAGTGTCAGCAAGTGTTATCCCGTGTTATCTGGTGTCAAAATGTGTTAGCCTGTGTTATCTATCAAGTATCAACAAGTGCTGTACCGTGCTATCTAGTGCCAGCAAGAAGTGTTATACTGTGCTATCGCGTGTCATCAAGTGTTATACTGTGTCAGCAAGTGTTATCCTGTGTTATTTAGTGTCAACAAGTGTTATCCTTAGTGTTATCCTTTGTTACCTAGTGTCAACAACAGTTATCCTGTGTTATTTAGTGTCATAATTTTCTTTTTGTCTTCATTCAGTAATTTTATCCTGTTTATTATTATTATTATTATTATTATTATTATTATTATTATTATTATTATTATTATTATTATTATTATTATTATTATTATTATTATTATTATTATTATTATTATTATTATTATTATTATTATTTAAATGTTTGCCCTTACTATTACCTTTAATAACTTGTAATACCATCTAATAATTCTGTAACCTATAGTTATCCTGTAATCTGCAATGACCTGTAATTATTCTGTGATCAGTAATGACATTTATACTGTGACCCGCAATGATTCATTGGCCTGTAATGACCCTGTGACCGCTAATTATTCTATGACCTATAATGGCCTCGATTGAGTGTGACCTGTAATGACCTTTAATTGTACCATGACTTGTAATGACCTTTAATTATTCTGTAACTTGTAATGGTTGGTTCTGGTATAGACAGTACAGTGTTGACTTCTAACTACCTGTAGTGGCCCATGATGAACTGTAATAACCCACGATGACCTGTAATGACTCAAATTGACCTGCAATGTCTCACGATGGCTTTGATTACCCAGGATGACCTGTGATGATCACTAATGACCTCATATAACCCACGAGGATCTGTAATAACTTTAGATGACCTGTAATTACCCAAGGATGACCTCTAATGACCCTAAATGACCTGCAATGGCGCCAAATGACCTGCAATGACGCCAAATGACCTGTAAGGACCAATGATGACCTGTTGTCCTTCTCTCCAGCTAGACCAGATGGCTCTGGGTCTCTCCAGCCGCGACTACTTCTTAAGGACTAACTCTACCCGCCGAGCCCTCGATGCCTACGTCAAGTATGTACTAGAGTGTGACCTTGTTTGAGGGTGACCTAGTGTGTGGGGGTGAAGTGTTGTTATGGCGACCTTGTCTGAGGGTGACCTAGTGTGTGGGGGTGAAGTATTTTTAGGGTGACCTTGTTTGAGGGTGATCTAATCTAAGGTTAACCTAGTCTAAGGTTCATACACACACACACACACACACACTAGGATGTAGGTCAGAGTAACAACCGTAATTATCAGAAGCAAGACCAGAGGGAGGAATGTAAAGTGTGTGTGTGTGTGTGTGTGTGTGTGTCCAACTTTCTATTCTATGAATGTGTGTTTGTAAATAAAAATAATGATGTAATAATATAAATAATTAGCTAAATAATAATAATAATAATAATAATAATAATAATAATAATAATAATAATAATAATAATAATAATAATAATAATGGATAATATTAATGATAATGGATAATAATAATGAAAATAATAATGATGATATACTGATAGTGATGATGATAATAATGTTGATTATGATGCTGATAATGATGATATTAATAATGTTGGTGGTGGTAATAATGATGATGATGATGATAATAATGATGATGATGAGCGGTTTTTTGACAAATACACCAGTCATGAGCTGAACGTATACAGAAGATATGGGGAGGGTCACTTAACAAAGAATACCACCACAGTTACAGTATACAAATGAGATAGGCAAGGAGTGAACACACAAGGAGTGAACACACAAGGAGTGGTCACACAAGGAGTGAACATACAAGGAGTGAACACACAAGGAGTGAACACACAAGGAGTGAACACACAAGGAGTGAACACACAAGGAATGAACATACAAGGAGTGAACACACAAGGTGAAACACAAGGAGTGAACACAAAGGGACACAAGGGAACACAAGGGAAATACAAGGAGGAACACAAGGGGACACAAGGAGTGAACATACAAGGAGTGAACACGAGGTGAACACACAAGGGTAACACACAAGGAGTGAACATACAAGGAGACATACAAGGTGAACATACAAGGAGAATATGAGGACACACAGGGTGAACACACAAGGAGGACACACAAAGAGGAACACACAAGGAGTGAACATACAAGGGTAAAAAGAAACGGAAACAAATGAACACACAAGGGTGAACACACAGGAGAACACACAAGGAGTGAACATACAAGGAGTAAACACAAGAGTACAAGAAGAAACACAAGGAGGAATACAGGGAACACACAAGAGAATGGCACACAAGAAGACATACAAGGAGGAACACAGGAGTGAACAAGGTGAACACACAAGGGAAGGGACACAAGGGAACACGAGGGAACACAAGGAGGAACATACAAGGGGTCAAAAGATACAAGGGAAGGGAACACAGGGGAAAAACACAAGGAGGAAGACACAAGGAGTGAATATACAAGAGTGGTCACACAGAATGAACATACAAGGAGTGAACACAAAGGTGAACACAAGGAGTGAACATACAAGGTGTGAACATACAGGAGTGAACACACAAGGAGGAACACACAAGGAGTGGTCACACAAAGTGAGACACACAAGCAGTAAACATACAAGGTGAACACACAGGGTGAACACACAAAGAGTGAACACACAAGAAGTGAACATGCAATGAATAAACACAATGTAACAAAAGGGACACAAAGTGAATCAATGAATGAACACATACAAGGATGAACAGGAACACAAGGTGAACACAAGAACCGGTGAACACACAAGGAGTGAACACAAAATATCTACGAGTTATTGATGATGATGTGTACAATGGTTGGGGTGGGGCTGTTCTTTAAGCGGTCAGTACGTGGTCGGTGGGGGTTGAGTAGCAGCCAAGGGAGAAGACCAGGCAGGGGAAACATAGTCGATCAACTATAGGAAGTATGTACTGTACGGTGATCTCAGACACAGGAAGTCCAAGACGACGAAGGAGGTGGAGAGGATAACGGCATGACTTAACGGCTGTACAGTGATTTCCAGTTGTTTGTTTTCTATAGTGACGCCGAGGAGCTTGGTGGAGTCCACAACTTGGAGAGTGTTGATGTGCATAACCTTGGTCTTGGTGTGGTTAATGGTGATATGGTTTGTGGTAAACTAATTTGTAGATTTTTCAGTGTGTGTGTGTGTGTGTGTGTGTGTGTGTGTGTGTGTGTGTGTAACAAAATTCATCGCCATTGTGAGGCAACTCCACGATGGCATGAACGGCAATGTCCTGCACAGTGGCACCCAGTCTGAGTTCTTCCCCATCCAAACGGGGGTAAAACAAGGATGTGTACTGACACCAACTCTCTTTTCCATTTTCTGGCTGCCTTCTTACCCGTGCCAGTGCCAATTTAGCCAAGGGTGAATATCCAGTACAGGATGAAGGGTCTTTTCAAAATAAGATGACTCCAGGCAGGAACAAAGGTGTCGGCAGCTTCCATTACTGAACTTCAGTGTGCAGACGACCTCACCCTTGTTGCTCACACTGAACGTGACCTACAGGAGATCCTGAACACCTACACAGATGCGTATGCACACTTCGGCCTTGAGGTGAATGTATGTAAGACTCGGATTCTCTTTCAGCCTGCCCCTGGTTCAGACACACCTCCACCATCCATCCAGCTTAATGGCACTACCCTCTCTAATGTTACCCACTATCAGTATCTTGGCTCCCACCTGTCCACCACGACGGACATCGATGAAGAGACTCAACATCGGATCAGATGTACATCCTGAAGCCTTAGGCAGACTCCGTACCCGTGTCATCAGCTGCAGGGAGCTGAAATTATCTACAAAGTTGCACGTATATATAGCAGTGCCCCCACTCTGCTTTTTATGGCAGCGAGACATGGGTCACATGCAGGAGGCACCTCAAGACACTTGAAAACTTCCACCAACGTATTCTACATTCCACCCTCCGAGTTCGCTAGGAGAACAAGAGAACAGTTGCCAGTATTCTTGCTGACACCAACTGTAGGAGCATTGAGACTACCATTATCCATGAACAACTACTCTGGACTTTACAGTCACCTAACGAATAGTAAACGCAATGCTGACGGACAACTGAAAAGGTATAAGGATAGTCTTAAGATAAACCTGAAAAGTGCCAAATCGATCCCCTCACCTGGGAGACGATTACTCCACACCGTAATGCTTTGAGGAGCACCACACGAGAAGGTGTGTCGAGTTAGCCCGTCTGCATACCGAGGCAGACAAGTGCCAACGCCGGAAAGACGCTGCCGCCGTCCCTCCCGCACTAGATGTAGCCCTCGACACGTGCAACGTCTGTGGACGACCCTGCAGTTCCCGTATCGGCCTCTCGAGTCACCTCAGAGCTCACCAACGAAGGTGACATCCTTAATAACTCGTATCATTGTATCATAGCTGGATGATCGTTATACTCGATTCCGAGTGACAGCAAAGTAGTAATAGTAGTAGTGTGTTTGTACTAGTATGAGTAGGACGTATGAGAGAGAGAATCCAGAACGTGGATCAAGGCAGCTTCACCCTCTGTTCACAACCTCTGGCAGGATGGGGGCCTAGTGCAAGGTGCTTCTACGAAAGACTGGCCGAGTTGATAGCAGAACAGAAGCAGCAGCCCAGAAGCTACGCATTGGCTTGGTTGAGGTGTCGCCTAAGCTTCCCTCTACTCAGGTCTGCATTGCTCTGCCTCAGGGGAACAAGATCATATGTCCATAAGCCAACAACAGTCACAGACATAGACTACGAGGAAACAGTCACTGAATGCTGAATAGATCTGTGGCTTGACTAATTCAGCTTTGTGTTACTTGTGTATTAGAATAGTTAGGTGATAAAATGGTGGAGAAGGTATGGCTATAAGTGGAGGTTGATGACATTAAAACAGTAGTAGTAGCAGTGTGTGTGTGTGTGTGTGTGTGTGTGTGTGTGTGTGTGTGTGTGTGTGTGTGTGTGTGTGTGTGTGTGTGTGTGTGTGTGTGTGTGTGTGTGTGTGTGTGTGTGTGTGTGTGTGTGTGTGTGTGTGTGTGTGTGTGTGTGTGTGTGTGTGTGTGTGTGTGTGTGTGTGTGTGTGTGTGTGTGTGTGTGTGTGTGTGTGTGTGTGTGTGTGTGTGTGTGTGTGTGTGTGTGTGTGTGTGTGTTCCAACTTCTGTATTCACTGTATGTGTGTATGTCTTCAGGTTCATGACAGACGTGGCGGAGCTGGTGGGCGCTGATCGGGAAGAAGGAGCCGAGGAGTTACAGGAGGTGCTGGCCCTGGAGACACGCCTGGCTATTAAGACTTCCTCCCTCCCTCCCTCCCTCTGACCTCTTCCCTCCTCCCTCTGACCCATCCTCCTCCCTCCTTCCCTCCCCTCCCTCCTTCCTTCTGATCCTCCCTTCCTCCCGCCCTCCATCCCTCTGATCTTCCTTTCCTCTCCCTTCTCCCTGACCTCCTTCCTCTCCCTCTCTCCCTCTGACCCTTCCTCCCTCCCCTCTTCCTCCTCCTCCTCCTCCTCCTCCCTCCTTCCTTTCTGATCCTCCCTCCTCTTCCTCTGACCCTCCTTCTTTCTCCCTCTTCGGTTCTTCTGCTTCCATACTCTCCTCCTCCTCCCTCCCTCCTTCCTCCTTCCTGATCCTCTCCTCTTTCCTCTGACCCTTTCCCTCCTCGGTTCTCTGCTTCCCATACCTCCCTCCTTCCCATCCCTCCTCCTCCCAGCCGTGGTACTCTTCCTGGTTTGTGTCTTACCCTGTGTGTGTGTGTGTGTGTGTGTGTGTGTGTGTGTGTGATCTCTCTCTCACATATTAAACAATTGACACTTGTTAATTGGTCAGTAATTTTGTTGAGTCTCTATTCACCCTAACAAGTCCATAACCCCTGAATCTTCATTATCAACCCTTAAAAAGTTTTCAGTATTCAACCTCAACAAACACCCGTCAACATCCACCAACACCCAACAGCACCCAACACACACTATCACCCACCAACACCCGTCAACACTAACTAACACCCACCAAAACTCAACACCCGCCAACACCGTCAACACTCACCAACACCCGTCAACACCTGCCAACACTCATCAACACCTGTCAACACCACCAACACCCACCACAACTCACCACCCGCCAACACCTGTCAACACCCACCAACACCCGTCAACACCCGCCACACTCCGTCAACACCCACTAACACCTGTCAACACCACCAACCCCCATTAACTCCACCAACCCCATTACCACTCCACCAACACCCATTTCCACCCACCAACTCCATTAACACCCACCAACACCTATTTCCACCCACCACCCATTACTCCACCAACACCCATTTCCACCCACAAACACTCATCAACACCCGCCAACACCGTCAACACCCACTAACACCTGTCAACACCCAACAACCCCTATTACCACCCACCAACACCCATTACCACCCACCAACACTCCATTACCACTCCACCAACACCCATTTCCACCCACCAACACTCATCACTCGTCAACACCCACCAACACATCAACACCCATCACAACAACACGTTAACACTCAACCACAACTCACTAACATCCACTCAACACCCACCAACACCCGGCAACACTGACCAACACTCACCAACACCCTTCAACATCCGCTAACACCGACTAACACCGACCAACACCCGTCAACACACCAACACCGACCAACGTCAACACCGACCAACACCGACCAACACCCGTCAACACCGACCAACACCGACCAACACCCGTCAACATCCACCAAAATCCGTCAACACTCAAAACATAATAACATCTTCTACCTCACCCCTGTAGGCGACGATGCCGGAGGCTGACCGTCACGACACTGGGAGTAACTACGTGAAGCTCAGTTTGGCGGAGTTGATGGCGGAGGTGCCGGAGTTCAACTGGTTAGACTACCTGTCCGCCTTCCTCAAAGAGAAACTGACCCCACACGAGCCAATAGTCGTGTACTTCATGCCCCACTCCAAGCCTCGGCTAAGATAATGGTCACTACTGATAAGAGGTAGGTGAGGTGAGGCAGATGGTGGTGAGGTGAGGCAGATGGTGGTGAGGTGAGGCAGATGGTGATGAGATGAGGTGAGGTAGGTAAGGTGGTGGTCATGAAGAGAGGGGTAGGTGCATGAGTGGTGGTGGTGGGTGATGGGGTCGGATGGGAAGGTGATGGTGGGTAGTGGTGGACGGGAAGGGATGGAGGTGGTTGGGGAATAGGTGGTGGAGGGGAGAGGTAAGGGGTGGTGTGGGTGGTGGAGGGAAGGGGTAGGTGGATGGGTGGTGGGGGAAGGGGTAGGGTGGATGGGTGGTGGAGGGAAGGTAGGTGGATGGGTGGTGGAGGAAGGGCAGGTGGATGGGGTGGAGGAAGGTAGGTGGATGGGTGGTGATGGGAAGGGGTAGGTGGATGGGTGGTGATGGGAAGGGGTAGGTGGATGGGTAAGGGAAGGTAGGGTGGATGGGAGAGGGAAAGGGTAGGTGGATGGGCGGGGAGGGAAGGGGGAGGGTGTGGAGGGAAGGATAGGTGGATGGGTGGTGGAGGGAATGGGTTATGGGATGGGTGTGGGGAGGAAGGGGTAGGTGGATGATGGTGGAGGGAAGGGGAGGGGTAGAGTGTGAGGGAAGGGGTAGGGATGGGTGGGGAGAAAGGGGTAGGTGGATGGGTGGTGGAGGGGGTAGGTGGGAGTGGTGGGAGGGAAGGTAAGTGGATTGGTGGTGGGAAAGGGTAGGGATGGGTGGTGGAGGGAAGGTAGGTGGGTAGAGGGTGGAGGAAGGGGTAGGTGGGTGGGGTGGAGTGGAAGGAGGGTGGATGGGTAGGAAGGGGTAGGTGGATGGGTTGGAGGAAAGGTAGTGGATGGTGGGTGGATAAGGTAGGTGGAATGGGAGGGAGGGTAGGTGGAATGTGGGGTGATGAGTAGGGTAGATGGGTGGTGATGGGAAGGGTAGGTGGATGGGTGGTGGAGGAAGGGGTAGGTGGATGGGTGGTGATGGGAAGGGTGGTGGATGGTGGTGAAAGGAAGGGTAGGTGGATGGGTGGAAAGGAAGGGGTGGGTGGATGGGAGGTGGAGGGAAGGGGTAGGTGGATGGGCGGTGGAGGGAAGGGTGGTGGATGGGTGGTGGAGGGAAGGGTAGGTGGATGGGTGGTGGAGAATGGGTTAAGTGGATGGGTGTGGGAGGGAAGGGGTAGGTGGATGGATGGTGGGCAAGGTGTAGGTGGGAGAGTGGTGGAGGGAAGGGGTGGTGGATGGGTGGTGGAGGAAAGGGTAGGTGGATGGGTGGTGGAGGGAAGGGTAGGTGGTAGAGTGGTGGAGGGAAGGGTAAGTGGATCGGTGATGGAGGAAGGGGTAGGTGGATGGGTGGTGGAGGAAGGGGTGGGTGGTAAAGGTGGGAGGAAGGGGTAGGTGGATGGGTGGTGGAGTGGAAGGGTAGGTGGATGGGTGTGGAGGAGGGAAGGGTAGGTGGATGGGTGGTGGTGGGAAGGGTAGGTGGATGGGTGGTGAGGGAGGGTAGGTGGTTGGGTGGTGGTGAGGAAGGGGTAGGTGGATGGGTGGTGGAGGAAGGGGTGGGTGGATGGGTGGTGGAGGGAAGGGTTGGTGGATGGGTGGTGGAGGGAAGGGTTGGTGGTTGGGTGGTGGTGGGAAGGGGTAGGTGGATGGGTGGTGGAGAAGGAGTAGGTGGTTGGGTGGTGGTGGGAAGGGGTAGATGGATGGGTGTGGAGGAAGGGGTAGGTGGATGGGTGGTGGGAGGGAAGGGGTAGGTGGATGGTGGTGGTGGGGAAGGGGTAGGTGGATGGGTGGTGGGGAAGGGGTAGGTGGATGGGTGGTGGAGGGAAGGGGGTGGGTGGATGGGTGGTGGAGGGAAGGGGTAGGTGGATGGGTGGTGGTGGGAAGGGGTGGGTGGATGGGTGGTGGTGGGAAGGGAGGTGGTTGGTGTGGTGGTGGGAAGGGTAGGTGGATGGGTGGTGGAGGGAAGGGGTAGGTGGTTGGTGGTGGTGGGAAGGGTGGGTGGATGGGTGGTGGAGGGAAGGGAGCGGATGGGTGGTGGAGAAGGGTAGGTGGATGGGTGGTGGTGGGAAGGTGGGTGGATGGGTGGTGGTGGGAAGGGGTAGGTGGATGGGTGTGGTGGGAAGGTGGGTATTTATTTAAAATATTAATTTTGCACTTAAGCAGCTAGTTTGTGCACTTATACTCATCTTGTGAGCGGTAGGCAAAGTTACAGAGTAGAGTTTACAAAGGGTGGGGTGGGGTGGGTGGTGGAAGAGGGAGGTATGAGAGGCGGAAGGAGGGTAGGTGGGTGGGTGGTGGTTGGTTGGGATCGAGAGGGGTGAAAGAAGATTAGAGGTGGGGGAAGAAGTTATAGTTTGGAAATTGAAGAAATTTGGTTGGGGGTAGGAAGAGGGAGGCTTGACCCTGGTGTAAGTTAGCTAAGCTAATAGTGTGTTAGGGTTGTGTCCTGGGTTTGTCATTGTCTGTCGTACAGGCACTAGACAGCCACCCTATTCAATATATGGATGTTTTGAGGCCTTATTTCATATTTCCTCCACCCTTACTGGCGGATGCTGGTGAGGAGGTTGTCTATTGCCTGGCCGTATAGATCGGGGGTGGTAATGGACCTTTTGATTGGTAACCTTTTAGGACCCATGTATGGTTGTTGTTGTTGTCTGGCGTGAGTCTTTGAAGGAGTTCTTCTAGATCGTTCTATCTTTTGCCAGACTCTGCTGGCCAAGTGTGCAGCTGCTGGTTGATGGGTTTTATTCTCTGATCTCTTATGTCATCTGTATGGTTCAGGTGAAGGGGTATCTTTCACCTGTGACGAATCTCAGGCTTCAATTTGCACTACCTGTAATTTTAATAATTGGATGGTGCTCATAGTATGAAGAGGTACTGCTGGAAGGTTAATATCTGTATGATAAGTGATGTAACCAGGCGGAGTTTTTTCTCAGGAAACGCATTAAGACGGTATAGTTTTTTTTCAGCTCTCTTTTTTGCCTTTTCCTTCCTGGTGTGGACATAATGTGAGTAACCTGTCGTGGATATATTCAGGCCCAGGAGGGTGCCTCTATTTGTAGGTGGTGGTGATGGTGGTTGGGTGGTGTAGTGGTGGAGTAGATGGTGGGTGGGGTGGGGTTGGTTGTGTTGAGGTGGGATAGGCGGTGGAGGGGAGGGATAGATGGGTAGTTTTAGGTGATAGTAAAGAGGGGTAGGTAAATGGGTGGTGAGGTAGGATAGGAAACAGAGGGGAAGGGGACGTCATGAGGGAAGAGTAGGAAGGGAATGGTAGAGTAAGGAGGGGCTGGCTGGTATTGACAAAGAACAACACCAGGTATACAAGACCCACTGACGAAAGCCTCACTCCTCCTCCAGAGTTTTGTGGAACTACGTGTTATGGCGTCTAGTGCTAGAGTTCCCACACCTAGTCGAGCTTACCAGGCCAGGAGACACGAGTTCCAGAAGGTGTCTCGGCATCCAGTCTGATAGAAATCGCTGGAACCTCTGCATCGAATGGACCAACAAGCGTCTCGGTATGGCTGTCGGCGCCTTGTTTATCAAGGATAACTTTAACCCGGAGAGTAAGGTGAGTGGTGGAGTGTGTCAGGAATTTTTCAAAAATGATTTACGCTTATACATTGATGGTTGGTTGGCCTGCAGATCCCGTGGTAATACAGGAGGTAAAAATACGAGACCTTACTCCATTGCAGCTAATAAACTTAACAGGCTACATTATCAAAACGTGAAAGGTTACGTTTGATTGCTGTTGAATTATTATAATTGGAGTCGTCGTCTCAATATATTTTATTACTCGAATCTACGTTACACCATCATAATATGAATTGCACCTGCATATAAGCACCAGTGACAACTCAGCTTACATCTCAGGTAAACAAAATTACCTGTACTATCATTTCCTCGAATTCAATACTGTATTTGATTTAGGTTTTTAATTACTCTTAATGATATACCTCACCTCTGATATATAAAATAAAATAAAAATTGTGAAGAAAGAAAAATATTAGTTAAAAACATATGAGCAATATTTCATAATTATATATTTTATTTTGGTCCACTGATTGTTGTTAAATGGACGTATCTAGTTCAAAGGTGATTATTTTAAAGTTAACACGTAAACATTTAGAAATATTAGTTTGTTATTTCTTCCTCTTTATTCTCCCTTTTTTCTATTCTTTCCTTCTATATTCTCTCAACTCCATTCCCCCTCCTCTATTCTATACTTCCTCTGTCCCCCCCTTCTATGTCATCCCTCCTCGATTCCTCCTCCTTTCTTGCCACTAACTGTTCTTGCTACTGCAGGAGACGGCGCTGGAGATGATTCACACGCTAAGGTCAGCCTTCTCAGACCTACTGGAGGAGAACGATTGGATGGACGATGAGACGAGGTCGGTGGCTCGAGAGAAGGCCAACGCTATGAACGAGAAGATCGGCTACCCTGAAATGCTTACTAAACCCAAAGTTGCAGAGGAGTACAGGAACGTAAGTCTTTCCTCTGTTGGGGGAGTACCTCTGTGTGTGTGTGTGTGTGGACAGCTGGTGGTATATGACTCCAATAACGAAAGTAAAGTTAGTCCTGAGGTTGAAAATAAAAGTTATATAACTCTTGTTTTGCAGAACACAGGTAGTTAGTGTGAGTATTGTATTACCTGTACGTGTTTTATCATAAGCTGTACAATACAGGTAATGGTAGGTTGAGAATTACTTGCACATGACTTCTGTATGTGTATTTACCCGTTGCGTTACCTATATTACCTGTTGTGTTACCTGTATTTACCTGTTGAGTGACCCTGATTGACCTCTATATATGTACTTCCCTGTTGAGTGACCCTGATTGACCTGTATACGTATTGTATATGTGCTTCCCTGTTGAGTGACCTGTATTGACCTCCGACAGCTGACCGTAATGGAGAACCAACACCTTCAGAATATGTTCAACTGGCTGAAGTTCGACGCCAGCAAGAACTTGGGGCGCCTGAGGGAGAACGTGAACAAGGCCAAGTGGTCAACCGCACCTGCCGTCCTCAACGCCTTCTATAACCCGAATTTCAACGACATAGGTGAGACCAGGTGTAGGTAGAGACCGCGGAGGGTAGAAGCAATGTAAAGTAGAGACCGTGTAGGGTAGGAGTGTTTTACGTAGAGAATGCATATGATAGAAGAAGTGTGTTAATGTAATGTAATGAGTGAAGGTACAGTAAGAATTTTTAGTAGTAGGATTGCAGAGTGAGGAAAGTTGGTGGCGTGGCCCAATAGTTATTTAACTGTTTTAACTGTTCATAGGGGATATCTGCTAAACAACAATTCTAAGTACAGCTATTTATTAGATAACTGAATGGCGTGGCCACATTACTAGATCATTATATTGACGTTACTAGACAATGACTCCCGGACACAAACATGAAATGGATACACTTCCCACCCTCTGGATCGCTCTGACAATAACTCACGTGTGACCTGGGGAAGGCCCAGCAGCTGGGGACTCTGAATGCAGGGCCTGGCAAGGCTGGGGAGGGTGGTTCCAGCAGGCGCTGGACACTCTCCTGTGGGAGACTCTGCCAGCTGGGGACTCGGTCCTGGGAGGGAGGTCCTCCTCCCGACCTCGGAACTTGTGACTGAGTGTGACTCCGTCAGGCTCTGGGTTGTGTTTCTCTTGGAAGAAACTGTAGGCCCCTTTTATTGGAGATCTCAGGCCGGCAGGTGTCGTCTCCTAATTATTACTGATCTGGGTGTGTTTGGACAGGTGTGTGGTGCTTGGGGGTCACGGGGTGTGGTGTGCTTATCGTGGTACGTAGGCCGGTAATGCCTCCTAATTATTACCAACCTGGGTGTGTCTGGCCAGGTGTGTTTATTCAGGTGTTGGTTTACTGACTGGAAGGCAGTTTATTGGATCAATAAGGTCATGTGGCCTGTTCTCCCATCACACGGTGGCGAGAACTCCTCCCTTCCTGACCTTGACCTTTGTTGGGTCAGTTCTTAATCTCATTTATTTACTGTAGGATGGATCGACTTCAGTGGATGTACACTTGCTCCATTAGTTACTGCTATATATATTGTTGTTCTACTGGGCTGTACGCTTTGATCTGATACACAATCATTACACCTCCCGCCAAGACCAAAGCTTCCATACCAGAGAACTGATGACACATAAAGACAGTGATCATGGTAATATCATGTGCAGTATCTAGAATAGCCCCTGAGGCGATAATGCAACCTCACAATTTGCAAACAATAACCGCTACTGCTTCCCTTAGAGTTAATGATATGTATGTTATTTTACTGGCTTGGGAGGTTTGATCTGAAAAAAACTCACTATAGTAAAGTAGAAACCGCGTAGGGTTGACATTATACCAAGCATACTGTAGGTAGAAGCCGTATTAGTGTCTGGTAGAAACCGTGTAAGATTGAAAACATGTAAAATTAAAGTGAAAGGTAAAGCCAATATGTCAGTGTAAATTAGAAACCGTGTCCATGCCAGATAGAAACCATGTCAGTGTCAGATAGAAACCATGCAGGTGCCAAATAAGAAAACACGCTAGAAACCCTGCTAGAGTAAGGTTGAAACCATACCACATTAATGTAAAGTGAAAATTTTGGTCAACATAGGTAGGAATCACGTTCATTTTTTTAAAGTAGAAACCAGATCAGTGTTCAGAAAAAATAAACGATATCATTTACGTAGATGTCTTATTAATGGTTCTCTTTATCTTACCACTTCTCTCTCTTCTTCTTCTCTCTTTATCTTTTACAATTTTTCTCTCACTCCCTCCCTCTCTCTCCTTTTTCTGTTTGTCTGCTATACCTTCTCTCTCCCTCCTTCTCTCTGTCTTTCTCGTTCCCTTAGTCTCCCTTATAGCCATGTCAACACCCATTACCCACAACATGAAGACGTAACACCGCTTGCTCGCTCTCCTTCCAGTGTTCCCGGCAGGTATCTTGCAGCCTCTCTTCTACTCCCAGCACCTGCCCAAGTCCCTCAACTATGGGGGTATAGGGGTGGTGATCGGGCACGAGATGACCCACGGGTTCGACGACAAGGGGCGACAGTTTGACAAGGAGGGCAACCTGAAACAATGGTGGAACAACCGCACCATCCACGCCTTCAGGTGAGCTGGAAGAGCTTGAACGAATCATTGAGGTATTTAGAAATAAGTGATGTGCACCTGTGATTATTTGTTACACACAGCGCGGCTAGTGTGCTGTAACTAGAGTGTACTGTAACTCTTGTAACTTGCCTTGTAGTTTCAGCTGGCCAGTTAATGAGTCACTAATAATATCTGTTTGTACTTGTTCAGATTATTTGATGCTCACGTGAACATTCCTTCCTTTATATATTTATTATAAAAATACGCGGTGGAAGCGATCCCTGTTCACACGCAGAGGTCCAGGGTTCGATATGCATTACACGAATTAATGAAATAATGGGCAATGAAGGACAGTTTATCAATTCCTTCTCACGCGCCAGATGACATTCACATGTTCTCCCCACACGTCTAGTTTCAAGGGTCAGCCCTGAGTGGGGAGAGGGCCGGTTCACATTTCCATAATTAGTACTGTCTATTTGTTGACAGAGGCTAATACAGGAACAGTCTCTCTCTTTTCTGTTAGTAAGCTATTCCACCTGCCAGCATTCATGAAACGCCATTATTAGTGCGGACTGGCGTAGGAAAGAGAGTACAGCTGCAGAATTAAAAACATTGCTGAATTCTCGACGACCATCACACAGGGAATTATCTGGGTTAATAGAAGAGCGTGTGAAGGTAGAGGTACTCAAGGGAGGAGCCTATTCTTACGTAGGGCAATCACTTACCCACATTATCTTACAGAGAAGGACCTCAGCGACGCCAAACACCTCGCTTGTAAGTCCCTGGAGAGTTACACTGTACTTGGTGGAATTACAGTAAAGGCAAGAGGGATGCTTTGTTGTCATTTCAGCTTTGCATAATATGACTTAGAATATCTCCGGTCCAGGACAACACCTCAGGTTTCAAAGTTTCTGACACTAATGGTAAAACAGCTCAGAGATATGACCACTTCCTGCACCTGTATAAGGCTGACTGTGGTAAAACTCTCTCTCTGTTGTTGGTCGTGTCACCACCGATCACTGATACTGTCTCGTCCTTCTGGAAGACTGGCGAGGACTGTGTGGCCAAGCTGAGAGGCAAGGAAGGCAATATAATTTTAATGGGATTATTGGGAGTTGTTGAGATCTTGTAATTGCATCATGATTGTAGTTGTGTCCTCTACTCTGATCACAGTCTCGTCTTGCTGCGTTATGTCATCTCTATTCATCCATTTAAAGGATGCCAGGTAGAGAGTGTATGTAATTATTGTGACTTTTTCAGTTATAAATCAATATGTAAACAAAGTGTTATTCCACAGGAAGCGAGCACAGTGTATCATCGACCAGTACTCGGGGTACGAGGTGGAGCAAGTAAACCAGTTCATCAACGGCCGCATGACCCAAGGGGAAAACATTGCTGATAACGGAGGCATTAAGCAGGCGTACAGGGTAGGTCAAAGGTCATGGAGGCACGGTGAGTAGGTTAGGTACTAGATACGTTAAGCATTGCCACTCGTAATGCTAATACCAGGGTAGTGTGAGAAGGTGTGTGGGATTATCATAAAAAACTAAAGGGATATCAAGATGTGTCTGGAGGTATCAGGATGTGTGGAAGAATATCACGACTTGTCAGGGTCCTTCTTAGAGCCTCAGGAGCCATAGTGACACCCCCTTCTCCTCCTTACAGGCGTACCGTCAGTGGGTCAAGAGGAACGGTGAGGAGAAGTTGCTGCCAGGGATCAAACTCAACCACGACCAATTGTTCTTCCTCAACTATGCCAGGATCTGGTGTGGCACAATGCGACCCGAGGACGCCCTCTCCAAGATCCGGTCCTCTGTGCACTCCTTAGGGCCTATCCGAGTCCTGGGACCCCTCTCCAACTCCGAGGACTTCGCTAGGTCTTACAACTGCCCCGTCGGAAGTAAGATGAACCCAAAAAAGAAATGCTCCGTGTGGTGAAGAGTTATCTTGAAGAAAAACAAATAAGAAAAACAAGGCAATCCACTCGCGTAATTTTTTTCATGAACGTGAAAATTTCCAGTCGGGGAATAGATGTTTGGTGGCCGGTTGGGTGTTCCTTGATATATAGAGAGATTTAAAATCAACTTCGAAGTTGGATGAATATTTTTTTTTATGGTAGCGAGTTAAGGAGCTCTGAAGGGGTCACAGAAGGAGGTGACCAAGAGCTTTATCCTGGGTCTTGTCTCAGTGGTTGGCTGAAGACTGACCAGGATGAGAGGAAGTAGAAAATGAGAAGATAAAAGATAAACTGAGGGAGATAAGAAGACGGGAAGAAGAAATGAGGAAGATCAAACCAGAACATATTGATAAAGACAAATAGAATTATGAAGTTAAACGAAGACCAAAACAAAATCCTTTGAAATTGCTTAGTTAAAAGGGGGGGGGGGGTAAGAGATGATGGCATGTTAAAGAAGAGAGAGAAAGAGAGCAAAAGAAAAAGAGAGAAACAGGAGGGCTGGGACAGTGTTTTCAAGATAGAGTACTGAGTCTTCAGGTAGACAGGGGTAAGTTGGCAATACTGGGGGTGTTGGGACTCTGGGAACTTAACAGGAAGTCTGGGAACTTAACAGGAAATCTGGTACCAGGAAGTCAGGGAACTTAACAGGAATTCTGGGGACTTCTTTGAATGTAAAGTTTGGTGTAATAAAAATGCTACGAGTTTTTCTTAACGTTTCTCCAGTTTAGTAACTTAGCACCTCAAAAAAATAAAATAAAATAAATAAAAACATGAAAAAAGGCATTACTTCAGGGGTTAGCTTGTAAAGACGCTACACTAAGAGTACAGAAACTATACTACTACTAATAATTACTAATAAAATAAATAATAGACTAACTATGCTCCTATTTAGTTAGACATATTTACCTAAAGAAAAACTAAAATAAACTCAAAGAAAAAAATATCACTTGGTGCTGAAAGAAGAAAAGGTAGATTTTTTTGAATTAATATATATTGTCCTTGGGTACTTTTTTTGGGGGGGTGGGGGGGGTCTGATTTTTTTATTTAATTTTTCGGACGTATTTTTAATGAGGAAAAAATTTGGGGCTGAAAAATACGACTGTTCACTTAATGGGAGCATCATTCTTGTGTACATATCTCTCTCATGGATACTCAAAGATGCGTTTTCTATTTTTACGTAGTATTATCTCACTTGTCGACGATGGTTCTGTCTTGATGTCGTCTCAATATCTAAGATATTTTTTTTTCTCTTCATATTTCGAAAGTTTTTTTTCTCTCTCTCGCTGTGTGGGTTATTGTGACTTAGTAGTGAGTAAGTGTAGTGGGCCGGGAGGATGTAGCGGATTCTACGTGTATGAGGGTAAGACGTGTGGTGATTGGTCCGTCCGTTCGTACATCCGTCCGTCCCAGTCATGTTATGTTTCTATTCCCCTCTACACCTAAGATGCTAACCTCACTTAACCTGGCCTAAATTATCCTAACCTAACCTACCTGACGTGTCCTGACCTGACCTAGCGTATCCTGGCGTATCCTAATCTAACCTAACCAAGCATACCTGAACCTAGCCAAACCTACCCTAAATCTCATCCAGTCTTATCATACATGAAATAGCCTTTTACCTCAACCTAACCTAATCTAACCTAACCTCTCTTACCCATAGCACTAGACAGCGGCGGTAGGCAGCGTATCAGACGACAGTACGTGTGGGGACCAATCAACGCACTTCATATGCCCGGGTACACGTGGATCTTGCTCTGCATTATGAAGGGGGGGGAGGGGGGTCCTCGCCCACAACCCACCTTCCCCCCACCCACTCTTCCCCCACACTCATATTTATTATTTTCATGGTCGACTAGAGTTTAGTGATGATGGAGAATTTATTGATTTAAATGACAAAGAGAAAGGTTTAGACTAAGACAACATTATAAAAAAAAATATTAAGTGAAAACACATATCATATTTTGTGATGTCGGAAAACCCATCTCTCGGTACCTTGAGGTGAAGAACCCCGACTGGTCCTTCCTCTTGTGTTATAACGTCGAGTTGAACCGCAAATGGTTCTCCCTCCTGTCTGTTATAACGTCGAGTTGAACCACGAATGGTTCTCCCTCCTGTCTGTTATAACGTCGAGTTGAACCACGAATGGTTCTCCCTCCTGTCTGTTATAACGTCGAGTTGAACCACGAATGGTTCTCTCTCCTGTCTGTTATAACGTCGAGTTGAACCACGAATGGTTCTCCCTCCTGTCTGTTATAACGTCGAGTTGAACCACGAATGGTTCTCCCTCCCGTCTGTTATAACCGCGTTGAACCACGAATGGTTCTTCCTCCCGTCTGTTATAACGTTGAGTTGAACCACGAATAGTTCTCCCTCCTGTCTGTTATAACGTCGAGTTGAACCCCGAATGGTTCTTCCTCCCGTCTGTTATAACGTCGAGTTCTTTCATACATTTTTTATCCCGTTTACTTATAATAATTCTCTACTACCTCTATATCGCCTTTTTCTCGTCCCTCAGCACCGAGCTATACACTACACTACACTCTGGCCAGGTAGGTCGGCCTCACTTGTCTCGTTGAATATTGATGATTTTGTAACTTAAACCGATCATACGACTGAGAGGGGACACTCTATTGCTTTTGAAATTCGTGGTGTTAATTTACCAACAAATGCTCCTCGATAGTTTTTGATTGGAAATTGTGAGAGGAAGCCAAGACAGTAATATGTAAATCATTAACATTTGAATAGGTAAATAAAGAGTAAAATTCAAGGAAAATAATGAAAATGTCTTGATTCCCTGCGTCAGCCTGACCTTAGTTGGGGTGTGACAGTATGGCTGGGTGGCGCTGTGTTATGCTTCCAGATGGCTCTTTGTGCTCTCTGGTCAACGCCTCTCCTCTCTCTCACTACTTATTTTCTTCTCTTCCATTACCACGCCTTTAATGTCTTCCCACTTACCCTCCTCATCTCTCTCCCCTTATTTCCAGTCACCCTGTCACGACCCGTCATAAGTGAGGCAAGACAGCATGGTACTGACTGGACTATGAGAGTCACGTGTCAGGTGAAGGTGACAGAAGTGTCCAGTAAGCCAGGCAAGTCACAAAGTCGAATGGTCCAGCCGCTTTTCTCATTGGGTCGAGGTTCTTAGGCTGCTGTTGTCACATTGTCTCGTCTGCACATGAAGGCTGCGTCTCCCTTGCTCCGTAAAGGTGTTACCGAGATGCTTTTGATAATTACCTTTTTTTTTGCCAAGGAAATGTTGTTTTGCTACAATATCAATGAAGGAACTTCTTAAGTAATCTCTTGTAAACACACACACACACACACACAGCGGCACACACGCAGACAGACACACACGCAGACAGACACACACACAGACAGATAGACAGACACAATCACACTCACACAAACACACAGCCCTGGACAATTTTCAAGGACGACCAGTACAAAGAAAATTATTTGTTTTTATCAGCTATAAGAAAACACGAGCGACAGACAGCGAATCACCCACCAAAACTCTAATTTGAAACATTTGCGAGTCAACTCACGGCGTCAGTCACATTGGTGCAACATTACATATCACAGGTTTTGACACAGCTAAATGTAGCTTGACACTTCTGAGAGTGTCTTGACCCCGACTTGACACTTCATTCTCTGGTTTGACGTCCCTGAGGCTTATTTGACACTAGATAGATACTTATAGGCCTGGCTTGTGATACCCTGGTTTGGCTTGACACTTGTAATGCTGGCTTGATACTCCTGGACGTGGTTTGGCAGTGCGCCGTCTGGCTTACTGTCGCCTGTCTCTCTCTCTCCTGTCCTCCCTGATAATGTAACAGGTGCGGTGGGCGTTACCTGGACACACCTCACTACGTATTAACAATTTGTATCATAAATTCCTGTTAGACAGTTAATGTTATGGTGTTGTTCCTCCTCTTATTAAATCCTCTCGGTTTATTGGTTCATGATCAATATTTCTTGAAGGTCATATTATATGTCATTAGGATAATTCACCTTCTGGTCAGGAGTTCGTTGATTCGTCAAAACACATCCCGTTTAACCAATCAACGCCGCCCCTGACGTCATGAAATTGAGTAATAGTGACGTCATCGATCAGCTGGTGAGCTATCCCTCATCCTAATCAAAACCACAGAATTATAAAAAAAAAAATCATTCCATATCATTTTTCGTGTTTCGTTTTTACAACAATCCACTTGGTGACTGTTTCTGTTGTCGATAAACAGACTCATAGACTCTAGTTGTATGTGACGTCATAAAGAGAAATATTTTCATTTTATACTGCTTTGTAACGTGAAAAATATAAACAATGAAGATTTTTATTGCACAAATTATTGCTTTGTAAATATCTGATGCAATTATTGTCACCAGTTTAGGACATTCACGAAATTAAACGTCAGAATATTGGAGTATTATTTTATTTATACTACCCTGGTGATGGCGATGATGGTGATTATAATAAAAAATAATAATCACAATAACAATGATATAATACAATATATTAACCCGTTCGAGGTAAGTAGTAGGAGAGAGGAAAGGGAATACTGTGCTGAAGATGTTGACGAAGATCTGTCACCACACCAACACACACACCCCAACAAGACGGCTCCTAGTTGACATTCTCCAAGCCAAGCGTAACTCCGCCCAGACCTTTGATCAAATCCTGACTGTGATCCCCATAATTCGGCCCTGTACAGTACCTCAGCCTGGATGGTTCACCGTACCAATAAGGAAGCTCCATCAGTATAACAGTGTTGGCGGCTGAGGGTCTTATCAACCGCCTCGTGAGCCAACTCAGTGATCGCCTTCTGGCTCCCCCCGTTGAAGCTCACTGCATAACATCTCCCTACAGTAGGTTCTATCCTTAGCTGGCTGGCGACTTATAGAAATGGATCAAGAAAGAGTACGGTACCCAGCCCCCCACAGTGGATGATGAACGTATGAAATGGAAATTTAGGGTCAAGATTGGCCCTATCCCTCCCCATGGTGACCTCACAGATGACCTCCCTGTCTATCCATCTCATTGCCACCAAGTCCCTGATCTAACTTTCTGCCTCGTTTACACACAACTGCAGGGTCTCAATTGTTTCTCTTACTTTAACAACACAACTTACATATATTGTTTCTAACTCTTGACATTCTTTTAATTGTTGCATTTATTTATGGCTATTATCATCATCATAATCATTAGCTATATTTTATTATATTTTCATCCCCAGACCTTAATGTGGGTCATTGAAAAATACCTGAGCCCGGATGAGCTAATGCCCTTAAAAAAAATAAAAAAAAGATATATAACTATCTATCTATCTATAGGGAGGATGACCCAAGGACTAACACAGTATATGGAGGGTGACCCAAAGCCTAACACAGTATATGGAGGATGACCCAAGGACTAAGACAGTATATGGAGGATGACCCAAGGACTAACACAGTATATGGAGGGTGACCCAAAGCCTAACACAGTATATGGAGGATGACCCAAGGACTAAGACAGTATATGGAGGATGTGACTAACAAGCCTAACACAGTATATGGAGGATGACCCAAGGACTAAGACAGTATATGGAGGATGACCCAAGGACTAACACAGTATATGGAGGGTGACCCGAGGACTATCACAGTATGGGCGGAGGATGACCCATGACTAACACAGTGTATGAAGGGATGACCTGTGACTAACAACACAGTATATGGAGGTGACCCAAAGCTCAACATTGTGCATATGGAGGGATGACCCAAGGACTAACACAGTGTGGGCGAAGGATGACCCTGTGGACTAACACAGTGTATGGAGGGTGACGCGAGGACTAACACAATATATGGAGCATGACCCAAGGACTAACACAGTGTATGGAGGGTGACCCAAGGACTAACACAGTATATGGAGGCATGAGGACTAACAGAAGTATATGGAGGGTGACCCCGAGGACTAACCCAGTATACATGGAGGGGTGACCCAAGGACTAACACAGTGTATGGAGGGTGACGCGAGGACTAACACAATATATGGAGCATGACCCAAGGACTGATGCGCGGAGGGTGACCTGCTGACTAACACAGTATATGGAGGATGACCTATGACTAACACAGTGTATGGAGGGTGACGCGAGGATCAAATACAGTATATGGAGCATGACCCAAGGACTAACACAGTGTATGGAGGGTGAATTCCCAAGGACTAACACAGTATATGGAGCATGACTCCAAGGACTAACACTGTATGGAGGGTGACCCAAGGACTAACACAGTATATGGAGTGATGACCCAAGGACTAACACAGTGTATGGAGGTGACGCGAGGACTAACACAATATATGGAGGGTGGACCCAAGGACTAAGACAGCATATGGAGGATGACCTGCTGACTAACACAGGTAAGGAGGACGCGAGGACTATCACAGTGTATGGAGGATGACCCAAGGACTAACACAGTGTATGGAGGGTGACCCAAGGACTAACACAGTGTATGGAGGGTGACCTGCTGACTAACACAGTATATGGAGGATGACCCAAGGACTAACACACAGTGTGTATGGAGGGGGTGACGCGAGGACTACCACAGTATATGGAGGATGACCTGGCTCAAATACAGTGTATGGAGGGTGACGCGAGGACTAACACACAATATATGGCATGACCTGCTGACTAAGACAGTAATAAGCGGAGGATGACCCAGGAATAACACAGTACATGGAGGGTGGCCCGAGGACTAACACAGTATATGGAGCATGACTCGAGGAATAACACAGTACATGGAGGGTGACCCGAGGAATAACACAGTATATGGAGGATGACTCGAGGACTAACACAGTATATGGAGGATGACCCGAGGACTAACACAGTATATGGAGGGTGACCCGAGGACTAACACAGTATATGGAGGATAACTCGAGGACTAACACAGTATATGGAGGATGACTCGAGGACTAACACAGTATATGGAGGGTGACCCGAGGACTAACACAGTATATGGAGGATGACCCGAGAACTAACACAGTATATGGAGGATGACCCGAGGACTAACACGGTATATGGAGGATGACTCGAGAACTAACACAGTATATGGAGGATGACCCGAGGACTAACACGGTATATGGAGGATGACTCGAGAACTAACACAGTATATGGAGGATGACTCGAGGACTAACACAGTATATGGAGGATGACCCGAGGACTAACACAGTATTTGGAGGATGACTCGAGGACTAACACAGTATATGGAGGATGACCCGAGGACTAACACAGTATATGGAGGATGACCCGAAATTAACACAATATATGGAGGGATGACCCGGGGACTAACCCAGTATGGGATGACCCGAGACTAACACAGTATATGGGTGACGGAGACCTTACAGTATATGGAGGGATGACCCGAGGACTAACACGATATATGGAGGATGGCCGAGGACTAACACAGTATGGAGGATGACGGGGACTAACCCAGTGTATGGAGGGATGACCCGAGGACTAACACAATTATATAGAGGATGACCGGGGACTAACACAGTATGGAGGTGACCCGAGGACTAACTGAGAATATATGGAGGAGGCCAAGGACTAACCCAGTATGGAGGATGACCCGAGGACTAACACAGTGTATGGAGGATGACCCGAGACTAACAAGTATGGAAGAGTGACCCGAGGATATACAGTATATGGGAGAGGGTGGCCGAGGACTAACACGAGCTCTGGAGGTATTGGGATAACACAGTATATGGAGGGATGACCCGAGGACTAACACGGTATATGGAGGATGACCCGAGGACTAACAGAAGTATGGAGGTGACCCCGAATAACACAGTATATGGAGGGTGACCCGAGGACCTACACAGTATATGGAGGATGACCCGAGGACTAACACAGTATATGGAGGGTGACCCGAGGACCTACACAGTATATGGAGGGTGACCCGAGGACTAACACAGTATATGGAGGGTGACCCGAGGACTAACACAGTATATGGAGGATAGCTGAGGTGCCGACGTGCAGGTACCGGTCTAGTGGCCCTCCTTTGGACATTTTCAATCAACCGACCGTTACTATACCTCGAGGACCAGACGGGGTGACAGTTCCCCATGACCAGTACTTGCAAAATAGTGTGTAACAGAGACGTAACCGAGCTCCCAAGTTTCTTACGAACGGATTAGTTGTAAAGAAGATACAAGTTAAAAACATTATAAATTAATTCACCCGAGCCTAAAGTAAATTACGAGTGCTAGTTAACTCGTACCACTCTAGGGAAGAAATCCGTTGTCCGTATACGTTTATCACACCAATTATATTTAACAGTAATAATAATCCATCACCAATATGTATACATTTATACAAGTAAATAATGGATTACATAATTCATATATATATAAATTTATGACTTATCCCTGACAACAAACACATTCAACTAGGAATTATTACGAAAGCTGAGTCACAACTAATCAAAGACACACAAGCAGACTACAGAAACCCAAAATCTTTTTGGATCAAGGTTAAAAACTTCATGGGAACTAGTTCAGTGGACAATAGTTACCTTATAGACAGCAGTGGACAAAAGGTCACACATCCCGAACTCAAAGAAACAATATTCACAATCTTCTGGAGCGGCATATACAAAATCACGGAGGACGACACCAGAAACTTTTGCAGAGACAGATGGCGAGAATACACCTGAATCAGAACACAGAGAAATGGTAACCCTATAGGACAATCAACCTCAACACATTAGATAACAGCAACCCACTAATTACCCCAATAACCACAAAGGATATTGGAAAACACAATAACCAGCTTTAAGAATAAGTCTCTGGGAATTAGCCAAATAAACAAAACCGGACTGCTAAACTTACCACCACCAATGATCAAACAACTTGCAGGAATTTTTAATGACACACCAGCTGCCAGATTTTTCCCATCAAAATTTAAAACAGCAAAGGTAAGGTTTATGCTCAAACAAGATAAAAACCCAACACAGGCAGAGAACTACAGACCTACAGAACATCTCTACTCGAGACACGCGGCAAAAACTTGGACAAAATAATTAACAACAAAGAAACTACTTAGACTACGAAGATAAATATAACCCGAGGCAACACGGCTTTCGAAAAAACCGAGGTACAAACTCTGCAATAGCACTAATTTACGAATCCATAGCAAATGCAGCCAGCAACAGACACCAGTGCAATGCAATACTGAAAGACCTCAGCAAAGCCTTCGACAAGCTATGGCATGAAGGACTAAAATACAAGATTACTTAACTCGACATGCCACCAAACATCACGGCTCTTTGCAACTTTTTAGACAACAGAGAAGCCAAATTCATCATCGACCATTTTATAGGACAATCCTTTAACCCTTATAGTGGAGTGTCACAAGACGGCGATATATCACCCACCTTATACACTATTTATA